CATACTGTACATTATTGTTTGATTGGCCAGCTAACCAGTGCATTGTGATTGGCCAAATACCTCAAGCGTGTGACAGAAATGTTACGCCCCTCACCATACTGTGATGCCGTGTCCGGCCGGAGCGACGAGGCAAAAACATTAAAACCCATTATAAACGAGGCATTTGTTGCATCCAGTGGGGACATAATTACGGATTATAATGACTTATACTGTCTTTTTACGCGTTGCATCGCGCCGCATAAACATAAATCCATTTCTGCATTTGTGATCGGAGAAATGACAAAAAACAAGCGCTACTCTTCACTGGCCAAAACTCAAGTTTGAATCATCAGTGGCAAATTCTTTAAATATGAAAACGCACTTACAGTCTGTGAGTCAGAACAGCCGGCATTGTAGTCTACTCTACCAGGATCAGGAAACAGTCCTCCATAAAATGTGCTGCACACATCTGAATATTTGGGTTGAAGTGTTCTGGAACAGTGTTGTAAATACAACTTAACCACTGATTTCTAGTTGTGTCCTCTTTTGGAAGACCAAACGAAGTAGTTTCGCTTTCGCAACGAAACACACAGCGTCACACATGCCAGGCTTGAGAACGGAGCGGCCGGCGGGCTTGCGGCAACCACATGTGACGACCCCCGGCTGGACTCCGCTTCGTCCACGGTGAAAGCCGATCCGGCGATCCACAGCGCGAAGTTGATGTATTTCCTCAGCGACCAGCACGGATCAGCTCCAGGCATGACGAAGTGGATATCGTCCTCTTTTGGAAGGCCAAACAAAGTAGTTTCACTTTCACAACGAAACACACAGCGTCTCAACAACATGGTGGCAGCAGCAACAGCGAGAATAAAAGTTACGCCTTTTTTCTTTGCGTGAACATTTGGGGGGCGTTATGCAAATATTCCCACACAGTGACATAGACATGTGGGGGCATGTTAGAACGAGGCATTTTAGGAGGGCGTAAGACTTTAAAAGTCTTAACTTTTATAAAGAATATCTCTTTGGATTTGAGACTTTAGTCTTTGCTACTTTAGGGATCTTATCTATGCACGAACAGCTTGTAACACTCCAAAGAGAAAGGAAAATGTTTAATTGCATCATATGACCCCTTTAATACAAAGGGCCGAACGCCAATCACACGGAGTACATTTTTCATTTAAAACACGAGTTGCAGTGGGATGGGGAAAAAACCCGCCATAAAGTCTCGAGATACGTTTTTTCAAAGTTGAACTTGCATTAATTTTACAAGGCTTTCTTTCTAAACATGTGCCTCTTTTGTGCGAGACGCGAGTGCAACAGTAATAGAAGTCCATCTAGAAAATGCCTGAAATATGCGTTCTGTGTGAATGGCTTGGTTTCAGTTTTGATGTAAACAAGATCTTCTCAGCATTGATGTTCTCTTTTTCCACAATATTTGTAATTAACAATGTAGCAGCGCCGCATCTAGTGGCTTTAAATATGCATTAATTAATTACTTGCATATAATCACTTACATCGTCATCGCATCTCATGCGCCACTGATAAGGCTGCCTGACGCACACCTAAAATTTGAATGCAACATTTTTGCATTCGAATGTGGATTTTTATTTTAAATTCGACAAATACTCGAAATTCAAATTTTTTTTGACTGCCCTAATATGGTCATTTTTCATATCGCCAGCTGCATCGGCGCACGGAAGTTATCAATCTAAACTAGTGCTGGGCGGTATACCGGTTCATACTGAATACCGGTGTTTATTTTTGTTATGATATTAATTTTTTAAATACCGCAAAAAGTATGTCGCTTAAACAACGTTCGGAATGCGACACTGTTATCAGGGCTCCAGACTGCGACAAATTTTTGTGAGCGGTCGCACTGGCGTGACCACCGAGTTGTCCAACTCATAAGCGCTGCCATTCTGTAGCATTTGAGAAATGGCAAACGAAACGAAAGCGAAACTAAACCGCACTACGTTTCAGCTGCGCAGCTCGGACCGCGACGCAAACAAACTTGCCCGAGCTCAGAACAGAATTACTCAGGAGCCAAAGTTGATTTCGCAACACTGTTACAGCAGATGCAACAGTGCTGCGAGATCCAGTGAGAAGCGTTTGAATTTGCCGAACAATGATAAGGTTGCTGCGAGATCTAGTGAGAATCATTCAAATTCTGCACAGAATTCTCTGTTATAAAGCGCTGACATACGTCAGGAAACCAGAAGCGGTAACGCTAACTGTAACCATGGTGTTGTGGTAGAAATAGTCGAATGCATTACATCATTAATTTCAGGGTTTTTACAACCTTTTGAGAGAGAAATTCAAGCACTTTTCAATGGCTTTCAAGCATTTCACACAACTATTTCCAGCACCTTAAAGCTCTAAATTGATCCAGATTGAATTTTATTTTTAATGGGATGACCAAAATATACTTTGTGGTAAACAAACACTTATTTAAAATTTAAAAAAATACATCAAATCACAATTATAACCAGTAGACAGCAGCAGAGGAGCACTTATTGGCTTATTAGTCATTCATTTCTAATTTTTCCCTATATTTTGAAATTATAAAATCACTCTTATAAAATATCAAATGATCAAGAAATCAGATTGTCATACTTTTACACTTTTTTGTGTGTATGAAGTAAGAAAAGTCACAAAGTGCCTTGAAAATAGGGCTGTGCGATTAATCAAAATCGTCATAAATCGCGATTTGAGCGTGCGTGAATTCTAAATAGCTTTATATCACAATTTTCCGCGCCCCCAACCTCCCGCAGTATGCCATCCGAACCAATAAGAATGCAGCACGAGAACAGACCGGGAGGACATACGAACGTAACGCCAGGTTCACGCACTCCGTCTGTGGTGCGTATTTTTTCCACGCCCATGTTAACGGATCAGAGCGTTCACACTGCACGCGATTGTGAAGTTTTACAAAAAAATTTAAGTTTCACAGTCAACACATGGCTTTTTGGCTAGATTTAAAACAAGGAAAAGTGCACTTTTAGATAAACAAGGCAATAATAGATGGCACTCGTGGTATTACACCATAAATGCATATAATTAAAGTCTACTGCTTCACAGTCAACACATGGCTTTTTGGGCTAGATTTAAAACAAGGAAAAGTGCACTTTTAGATAAACAAGGCAATAATAGATGGCACTCGTGGTGGTAGTTAAACAAAGTTATAATTATATATTAAAGATTATATTACTGTACTGTGATAAAAGAGAATCACAATGCTGAAAAAGCATTTTCAAAAACAACATTTGGATTTCAAATCAAAATAATGGATAAATGTTGTGTTTGTGGTAAACAGCTGCGGATCAGGAGCGGACTGCAAACGCGTCCTGTGTGAAAGCAAAACGAGTCCGTGCTGCTTCTGCACTGCATACACGTACTGTATACGCACTGCAGACGGAGTACGTGTGAACTTGGCACTACAAATCTAGTTCAACATCTGAGACAACGCCACAGAGAGCTCTATGACCAATGCATGGCACAAAAAAAAATCCCTGGACACAGGATTTTTTTTTTTCTGCCATATGTCTATTCTAGAGACATTTTGTACACCTTTACTTAGTGATTATTTTGCCTTATGTCTGTTCTAGAGACATGTTACAGTTTTTTGATAAAGCTCTAATTGGTTTTCTTTTGGAAATATGTTTCAAATTCACACTGAATGCATTAATGACTGTAAAGCATGTCTGTGTGTGTCAAAATCGTGATTAAAATTGAAATCGCAAAATTGATCAAAGAAATCGCGATAGTTTTTTTTTGTCCATATCGCACAGCCCTACTTGAAAAGTAAACTTTTCTTCAACTTGCTACTAAATGATACAATCACTGAAGTTGGTCAGTTCCATATACTAGAAGAATAATGGTACATTTAATAAGAGTGGAATATATACATTTTCTATATAAAAATTAGATTTTGCACCCGTTACTGTTGATAAACGTAAATTTTGTATGCATAACTCAACTTAACTTAACTCAAGCTTAGTGCTTTACTGTCAAATCTGTATAAACAATAAACAAAAGTAAAACAAGAAAGGAACATGAACTATTATTAGTAACTGCACTTGCAAAACAATAGTAATTTTGTGATTAAATGTTAAAATAAAATAATTTTAATACTCCCACACACCACCCCCAGCGCTACCAAATCTGCTCCTGGCGCCACCATCTGTAGAACTTATGGTGCTTTTCCACTGCATGGTACGGCTCGGTACGGTTCACTTTTGGGGGGTTTTCTACTGGGTACAGTACCTGGTACTTTTTTTAGTACCACCTCGGTTGAGGTTCCAATGGCGCTTTTCCACTGCGTTGTACGACTCGGCTCGGTACGGCTCAGTACTGCATGGCACGGTTTGCTTTCCACTGCAGTTCAGTACCGCTTTAGAGTGGGCGGGATTATTCACATGTCGTTATAGTTGCACCGCCTCTATTGCCACGACTCCTGAAAAAATCATTTTTCATTCCGCATCGCCCCATCAAGCTCTCGCTGGATCCGCTCCTCTGCTATCAAGTTCAGTGACGCAGGTAGTGACGGTTCTCTCCGGCCAATCCGTGATCAGCAGCGTTTACATGTCACGTTTTGGTAACGGTACGGTTCACTTGGAACCTCAACCGAGGTGGTACTAAAAAAAGTACCAGGTACTGTACCCAGTGGAAAACCCTCCAAAAAGTGAACCGTACCGAACCGTACCGTGCCATACCATGCAGTGGAAAAGCGCCACAAGTGAACCGTACCGTTACCAGAACGTACTAAACTGCAGTGGAAACGCAAACCGAGCCGAGCCGTGCCACACAGTGGAAAAGCACCATTAGTGGCGCTGGTGCCACTGCTGTCAAATGTTAGACTGGAGCCATGTTTATGTTTAGGTCTAAAAACACATTAAGAACATTACCAGAATTTCAAATCTTAAACCAAATAAATAATCAAACACAGCTCTGTTATACCACATGCAATAAGCAAAATGCCTCTATAAAGCACTTTTTAGTTTCACGGTCACCAAAGGATTTACCAGGTGTGCCAAGCAGATTGTTGTCTCTCATGAGCCGATAGTCTTCCTCGCTGAGATTGTTGACGAACTGGTAGAAGGCCTCTTCTCTGTCCAGACGGTCCAGCTGTCTTCGGCGTTGTGCTTCAGATTGATCGCTGCTGCCCTGATCTGCATTATTACCCTGAGCCTCCATCACTGCGCCCAGCTGTCAGATACAACTACACACACAAGCAGAAACATCACGTTAGTGTCCATCAGTCCAAACACACAAACTGAGCCAAGAACCATCGTGTTCATGTAATAAATGAACATAGCAATTATCTATTATCACTACCAAAGGATAATACCGGCATGATAGGGACACACAGTTCCTGCATGTAAATACACGCGTGTTTCTGATGTTACCTGAAGCTAATGCAACTGGTCAAAACCTGAAAGCGCTCGCTGACAAATAGAATCTTCTTACGCCATTAAAGTGTGATCTGTTGAGTCTGTTCGAATATAATTAGCTGACTGCAACCAAAGAGACTGAAAACAAAATGGCATCAGCGAGCTAAACAGGCTAAAGGCTAACGCTCACGAATTTCAAGGAAAACAACCTTTACGTTTGTCCTTGATGCCACATACAGTCAGCACAATAACTGCATTACCAATAGAGGTCGGATCATAAATGTGTAGCTAAAGCATCAAAGCAGTATCACTAATATTACATCAAGTGTGTATTTCTCTCTGTGTGACGACAACCCTCTCGCAAGCACGAACTGAGGAGAAGGGTGAAGGCTAACGTTAGCTGTAGCCTGAGCTTCGGCTAGCTCGCACAGCCAGCCTATGGAGAAACAGCGAGCTTGTTCATGCTAAGCTAACGTTAGCATTAGCATTAGCACGGCTGTGAGATCAAAACAGCCAGCAGTCAGCGAGTCACTTCGACGATCATAACAACTCACGCGTCTAACGAGGAAAACACAGAAGAATACCTCAATAAATGTGTCGAAGCCGTATCTAGTAACCGTCCCGTGTCCGCCTCGTAGACGTTAGTAAATGTTAATCTTGACAGCAATTCAGGAGTTCATTTTCTCGAACGTCTCTTCGGCGTCGACTCTACTTCCGGTGTGCGGAACTGTGCGGAAACGCAATAAAACTTAAAAGTCTGAACAAACAGTCGAGTTTAACAGGTAGGCTGTGTGCAGCAAGGCTTTACGGATAATATTAGTATATTTACATTGTAACATATGTAGCTCACACTAAAAGAGGTTCATCTGAAAGGTAAGGTCTTACCCCTTATAAATAACCCTAAATGTTGCACAAAACAACACTGAAATGTATACGAGTTTTTTTTTGTCTAAAATGACGATACGCAGTTTTAAGTGCGCACGCTGATGAACTGTAATTTATAGTTGGTTTCAAAATGAAAAGAGCTCAACTTTTATTATGCAATTGTGCTAGAGACGCCGGAAGAAGCAACAGTGATGAATGAAAGGGAATGAGGTTAACATACTATGTGAATTTATTATGAACGTTTTACTCATTCTTTTAGTGTTAACGTTACACTCTTATGAATGTCACCCTGTGGTATTTCTGCAAGATAATGAATAATTCAAATAAAAAATAAAATAACTCTTACCATATGTTACAATCTTCACCACATTCCACCTTTCCTTTTGCAATGCGTTTCTGAACATCCAACCAGACTCCTGAAGAATTGTGTAGAAATGCGAAACATGATTCTTAACCAGTGCTGTAGGGGACATTTTTCACGTTGATACTCATCAAGTGTTTGCTATGAACACCTGAAAGCTTGCCTGATTGCGAGATGTCATCATTTGGAAGTATATCATCATAACTTTGGGAAGTATCCATGTTCAAAGTCCACAATCTTTAATTTACCAACAAAGAAAAATTCAAACACAATCAATTAATATTCACAAGAAGCAATTAATTAATATTAATAATAAAACACACACACACATTTTCTCTCAGAATGGGCTTTTGATAATGTCAGCATTTAATAATGTAATTAGATAATGTTGTAAGCAATATATTGGCAAACTCTGAGTAATCACAATCAGGAAGTACAAGTATTATTATTATTATTTTCTATGCATGAATTTTATATAGAAAAGAAATAAGAGAAACAGTAGCTCTTGAAAAAAGAGAGGTGTTATACCCACACATCCTAAACCTGCTTTTCACTCCCTGTCCTGGTTATATTTTATAGGTTTTTCATTCACTCTCTTCTCCTAAAACTGAACACAAAGACATAGTTTAGTGTAGTTGTTTCACAGTGAACAGCAGGCAATTTTATGACTGTAAATTCATTTAACATTTATGCCAAAGTAGTTCAAGCATGAGTGTCTGAATGTCACTTCCAGTAAATTCAGTTCTCTTGTTCTGAGAGTAAGAAGAAAGACTATTTGGAGATGTTAGTTGTTTTTAAGCCGTGCTCATTTCTTTGCTTTTACACATATTAAGGGACGTTAAGATTTTCTAATGTTATCTAGTAGATCATCCAATGATTAGACCTTTGAAAATCCCATCTGTCCAAGTTCAGGGTGCTGGTGTTGTTCTTCAAAAGAGATATATATAT